CAAAGAGGCTAGAGGCGGGTGCCTGTCCTTTTTGCCTAAGCAATCAAGAATATTTGAGGGGTATGCAGGAGGCAGCCGATTGATGTTTGGATATCATAATCGATGTTTCTCCCTTCTCCGTCTAAAAATCAATTAAAACAAAGAAATGGGCAAGCCCATTCATTTTCTGGCAGGCAGGGTTTCATAACTTGATTCTAAATATCATTTTAAGTATTATAAAAATACTAGAAAACAAGACTGGTCATACTAGTATTGTTTATATAGAAAAGGAATATTATCAATATATGAAATAACTAAAATGTGTACACATTTTAGAGCATATTAAGTATCCTTCCAAAACACTTTAAAATATTTTCTCTAAGCACAGTTGCTTTATTTTTGAAGTGGAATTTGAGAATGCTTTGTAATCTCCCATACCGCTATGACTATTCCAGATCCATAATTCTAAACTTTTACTTGAAGTGGTATTTGTACATAAAACCATGTAAGAAACAGAAACTTTTGTATTAACAAAGTCAAATGATTTGCAAGTCCAATGGAGTAGCCAGAGTGTAACAGAAATCAGATATTCCTGGGTTTGAATGCCTTTTTGCCATTTACCTCCTGTGGTACCTTGGGCAAATCGCTGCTCTTTTGAGAAGTTTTTATATGTGTGAAATGAAGACGTCTTTCTTGTGGGACTGTGAAATAGGTGAAGATAGATGTGAATTTAAATCCTAGGTCTACCACTTCCTAGCTTTATGACAGTGGACAAGTGACTAGTCAATTCAACAGGTATTTATTGACTGCCATGTACTAGGGATGCAGGACATGGTCCCTGATCTCGGTAAGTTTACATCTGGTGAGGTAAACAAAAACTCAGATAATCAGAATAATGTTAAATGCAATGATCTGGTGTTTTCTGATCATTATCTCAGGTTGGTTTTTTAAAAAATATATTTTATTGATTTTTTTACAGAGAGGAAGGGAGAGGGATAGAGAGTTAGAAACATCGATGAGAGAGAAACATTGATCAGCTGCCTCCTGCACACTCCCTACTGGGGATGTGCCCGCAACCCAGGTACATGCCCTTGACCGGAATCGAACCTGGGACCTTCCAGTCCGCAAGCCGACGCTCTATCCACTGAGCCAAACTGGTTTCGGCTCAGGTTGGTTTTAATGAAGTGCAATAGTACAATGAGGTGCAATATTGGTACAATGTACAACTAGTTCTGAAGGTAGAGGTTTTTCAAGAGCATAGCCATTTATCACTTCAATTGCAACAAGAGCACACTTTTAAATGCCAAACTATTTTATTTACTTCCCATTTCTTCTCAAAAGTGTACACCCTGGTAATACAATTTAGACCCAACCCAACATTTTTCATTCCTTCTCCAACAACTTCAGCCTGGCCCAGGGTAGGCCAGATCATATAGACAAGTCATCAGTTAATAAAATTTTTGAGTAATAATTAAGTGTATATATGCAAAAGGTAGGCCATAAAAGGAATTTGTCTAGAGCTGAGAGCTGGCTGCCTCTAAAGACTTTTCAAACGAGGTAACAAGTGTGCTTAAATACTTTCATTTGAACAGAAAGATATAAATAGAAAAAAATCTGTTTCTAGATTTTAGTTTATCAGTAGCCACTGATTGTCCTTACTAGGTATACAACTTATAACAATATTGAAAGATACAGCAATATTGAAAGACAGCATAAGAAAACCCATTCCCATTTACCCAGTGCAATGATAATAGTGCCAATATTTATTTTTAATTGTTGTTTTTTTAGAAAAAAAGAGGGAGAAAGAGAAACATCAGTGTGAGAAACATTGATTGGTTGCCTCCCAAATGGGGGCTGAACTCGAAATGTAGGCATGTGCCCTGACCAGGAATCGAACTAGTGATCTTTTGGTGCATGGGACAATGCCCAACCAGCCACACCAGCCAGGGCCAATATTTATTGAATGCTTATCATACACCAGGCACTGTAACTAGAGGCCCGGTACACAGACCCTCGGACTGGCCTGCAGGGATCTGGCCAAAACCACTCTCTGGGTCCGGGATGCAGGTGAAGATTCGGGGCTGACAGAGCCCCAGCAGCAACCTAACCCATGGCTGATTCTGTGAGGAATTGGGCTCCCTCCTGTACTGGTCGGAGAGTCTGCCCCCTGGCGGTCATTGTGTGTCATAGCTACCAGGTGAACAGTCAAACGGCCTGACGATCACTTGGGCTTTTACTAGTATATGTACAGATTATTTCATCTCATCTTCACAACCCTGAGAAATAGGTATTATATCCCCATTTTATATATGAAAAAACTGAGGCTTTTAAAGCATTTAAGCAACTTGCCTAAGGTTGTCCAAGTATCTCCCATATATGTGAATTTATTGTTAATTATGTATATGAACAGATATACCAATACTGTGACAAAATATTATGCACATTATATTTTGTAATATTCATCCTGCTTTTCAATGTCTTACTATATATGTGCCCCACTTTGGAGACCACTGTTTTGTATCACAGCAAGTCAAAATTCAACAAAGAAAGTGAAGATTACCAGTGGTTTTCAAACTTGAATGTGTATCACAGAAGCATTACCACCCCAGACATACCTATAATAGCACACCAGACCAATAAAAAGTTACAGAGGAACTTGTGCTCTCTTTGAAGTTCCCAGGCATTCACTCCTCTGTTCTTTCCACCAAGCTTTCCAAATCTGACATTGGGCCCTAGGATGGCTTGGGGGATGGCTTAGTCCACAGTATAGTTCTGGGAATCTCAGCTCCCAGAAGGCTCCCTTAGGCAAAGGCATGGGGAGGAAATACTGCCATCAAAGATCATTGCACTGGCTGGACCCAAGCACCCAAGAGCCTCCTAGGAATTCAGAAATAATGGCCAAGGGCACTTTAACATCCAAGACTGCTGGAAGTGCCTAGAGTTAATAGGCTGCTAAAAATCCATCTCCTACGAAGTGCCAAGTTCAAATGATATGCTTTTTCTGTGGACAAAGAGCACATTTCGCACACTGAATCCTCACATGTTCTTAGGCAAAACTGTAAAAAGGGACTAATATTCAAAACATGTACTACGAGGATTTTGCAAATACTAAAAATGACTAGCGTTTTTTTTAAATTCTGAAACTTTTATAAAAATGCTAACAATGTCTGAGAGTAACTCTGAGTCACAGTTCTCCAAAAGGGTTCAAACTTTCTTTTTCATTTCAGTTTTTCTCTCTGCAACAGAACAAGGTTAATGCAAAGTTTAAGTGTTTATTTTTATTGATTTTAGAGAAACATCAATTTGTTGTTCCACTTATGCATTCACTGGTTGACACTTGTATGTGCCCTGACCAGGGATCGAACCTGCAACTTTGGCGTATCAGGATGATACTCTACCCAACTGAGCTATCCTGCCAGGGCATATTAAAATTTCTTTTTAAAGGCTCAAGCTTCAAAATCATGAACCCTTATAAGCTGATGCATATTTGGAGATGAGAACAAGGTCAAGAAAAAGAATGAAAAGTAAATTCCTTACCACTCATGTGATTTGACAGTATGTACTTAACATACACATATACACCAGCTAAGCCATAAGACACTAAAAAGGTGACACCATTAATATTGTAGGAATTTTGCAAATAATACATTTGTTTACATTTTTCTTCACATTCCTACTTGGATTCCTGCCTGAGGAAAATTTTAAGTTGATATAGAACTTATAATCTTATACCAAATATCTGCAATTGCTAACATGTCAGGGAATCTTTACCTATGAAGGGAATGTAGCCACCATTAACCCCAGAGAGCTAGCCGAAGAGAAAAATGTGTGTTTTATTAAGCAGTGAGTACAAAGATGTTTGACTCCAAGTTAAAGGCCCTGCTCAACTGAGAATTTATTAAGGTGTTCTGATGGTTACAACACCTAAATAGAACAAAAGTTAAGGCAGCCTCTCTACCCCTCCAGACTTATTCATTTATTATTTTTATTTATCTTCATATTTATGGCACACATCTTTTTTTAAATGTTTTTGTAACACACACACCTTTTTTAAACATTAACTTCAGCTTTTCGTGCCAGAAACAGAAGGTATCACAAACTCCAATTCTTATTTAAAATTATGTACCAAAATGTGAAGACCTCGTAGCTCCAGACTCAACTCTCTAAGAGGAAGAAAATTCTCATGCACCACACTGGGCTAGCCACTCCTAACTCCTGCCTGCTCTGAGAACCCGGCATCCATCTCTATAAAGCACCAAAGGGGAGCACTTTACTAAACAAAGTGTAGCTTTTTAGCCGAGGCCTCATGTCAACTACCATCCCCCAGCTCCTATCTTAAACACTGTTACCTGTCACTAAAGGACTTTAGCTGATGGTTTCATAAAAGAAAGCAAGGCAGCGTAGGGAAAAGAGCTCACAAATGGCCAAATTACAAATCTGGAGGCTTGGCTTTCTAGCTTGTGATTCTTAAGATGCTAATATATTACTTAAAAGAGGACCCCACTGCTGGCTTCATGGAATTTATAAATTCCAGGTATTCAAGAGCTGATTCTGTTCAAAGAAACAAACACCTCTTTACACGTAGGGCTGCCTGTCTCAAAGGATCAAAGAAAGCCATGGGTACACTGTAAATACCAGCTGAACACCAATGTACAAGGCTAGTAAGATATGGGAAATATATCAAATAATAATAAAGTGTTTTAAAGGAGCTGGAGAGAACTTAGCCATTATCATTTAATTCTACACTTCCATGTCCATTCTAAGAGTGTCACTGTGGTATAACACCAACGGGGACACGAACCTATTTCCCCTATAGCCTGTCTTATGCCAAATACAAATACCATCAAAGACTAAGATGCTTCTTCAGGAACATATTTTTTAGTAGAACTGTATATTTTGAGTAGCAAGTTGCCAGAATTTTAAAATAAACAAAGAGTGCAATGCTTCGCTCACATGACCACCAATGTTAACAAATTCAGATGAACAGCAGAAAACATTTCAGCAAAGATAATTTTAGAAAATGCAGACTGAATCAACTTTTTATTTTGTAAGGACTTTAGAAAACATGAGCAAATATTGATATTGCATTAAGAAACAAATTAGTCTATACATCATTCAAATTTTAAAAATCAAAGAGTCAACGTGACATTAAAAAATGGAGTAACAGAAATGTGTTTCATTTTAAAACAAAATACTATCAGTGGTTTCTTACAACTAGATACACAAACGTAAAGGCAGTAATTCTAAAATGGTGTAAGATGCTGAATCTCAAAATGATCCAGCAAGTTGAAGGAGCACCAATTGTCACCAATGTGGGACTGCCACATATTCTATCAAAGAAAACAAACTATATAATAAAAATAAGCAAATACATAAATTGTTGGGGAAAAGGAGCCCACAATGCCTGCAGCTTTAGAGTAAATGGATTATTTGGTTCTGTTTTTACATATGTTTTGTCTGTTTTCTTACTCTAAGAAAGAGAGTGGATATGTGAGTCATCTAAGAATATTTCCCAGTTATATCGTAGTTATTCAGGAACGATAAGTATTGCAGAAACAATGATCAATACGCCTTGTCACCTTAACCACTTAATGTGCTATTTAAATTATTTGTTTGAACACCAATAGTATGCTTTCATTTTTTCTTTCCTAAAAACTCTTGTCAAGAATATTCAATGGAACTTTCTTAATTTAAGAAATATGTCTATTTAATTCCTGAAATTTTTCTTTTTTCAAGAAGTGACAATAATATGAAGTTCTAATATACCAGGAGCATGGAAAAGAATATTAAGCAATCTAATTATAACAATTTAAATTATAATATTCAAGAAATATATCTGAGGGCTCAAAAATGTAATTTTGTGAACTAAGTTTCACTGAGAGATGCTTATGACTAAGTTTAAAACATGGTTATTATTATGTTTGAAAATTTTAAAGAAAAGTCACAACCTACACAATAATCCTGAAGAAAAACAGATTAAAATTAGTAGGGTATTTATATGTACAGATGCATACACAAGTACTTTCAGGGGGTGGGGGGAGGAATCATATTAATATTTACAGGTTACAAAAAACTTTTTAATGAAGATTAGAAAAGAGTTAGTAACTAGGTGTAGAGCCAGAGGTTGTGAGGTGAACCTAAAAGTGGTAAATACTAAAATTCTTTGCAGTGTAAAGAAATGCAAAAGACTCGTACTACAAATCTTTAATTAAAAAAACAAAAAGCAATCCAACTATTGTCCATTTACAATGATAAAAATTGAAACAAAAACTGAACCCATTTCGTAAAAATTCTATTATAACATTCTTAAATCCAGTTCATATTGTTCCAGAGTCAAGGGAGTCACAAAATTAGACAGAATTTTACCTTTTCTAAAGAGATTATCACAATTTCATTGCAAGAGGATAAGGTGAATAGCCTCTTAGCAACTTGTGTACTTTATTACTACCTTCAATAGAAAGTCCAAATATTTCCTTTTTTTTTAAACTTCTGGAATTCTATCCAGATATTTAAAATGTTGATATTTAAGCTTAAAGGACATCATACTCTGAAAACAGGCACAGGCCTGCCTCAAATATAGTTTGATAATTCTAGGGGTACTTACTGCAAGAAGATTTCTTTAGCAAATACTGGTTTCTTATATTTAAAAAATCAGCAAGGCAGAATTTAAAAAATCTTAATTTACAATACATTGTAAACTGCACACAACAATTGCCACATGTATCACGACCAGCACAGGTAAAAAGTTTTTTCCAGATGTCTTATAAGACTTTGTATCTTCCTTTATTTGTTGGTTGGTATGAATTTTGCTATAATAGAAAATAAGAGATATGTGGTAAGAAAAAGCAAGGACATTTCCTTTACAAACATATAAAACTATCATATTTAAAATAAAAAATGTTAATATTATATGGAGGAAGAAAGAACTGTTCAATAACTAATCATTCTCTGTTCTCTCGACTACTCCTTGACAGCTATTTCGAACTAACTTAATGGTAGTGACCTCAAGGTCCTTTTTCTATCACCCCTTGGTGAAACAGTCTTAAGCACTAGATTTAATGGTTGTCTCTTTCTTCCTTCTTGTTTTGTGTACCTTCTAGTCTTTACACTTTTTATCCTCCCCCAAAAGAATGTTCTGCAAGTAGAATTTTAGAAAAGTCCTCAAAAACACATTCTTAGAGAAAGGATAAAGTTTCCTATCAAAGGGCTCTTATCCCAACATACAAATTGTAAGGAGAGTTTACAAGCTTCAACTGATACTAAAGACACAGGGACGTACCTGCCTCCTTTGGAAAGGTGGTCTATAAAAGGCACATTTCCAAAGTCAAATTAAGTCTTTACCTAAGTTTAAAAACACTGACAACACCTGTACTGGCAAAAATGCAGAGAAACTAGAATTTTCACCCAGTGCTAGAAGGGATGTAAACTGGTATAACCACTTTAGAAAGTTATTCAGTAATACCAACTTAAAGCTAAACTACACATTTACCTTATGATTAGCAATCCTAATGAACAATTTTAACTTCAAGGTTTATACCCAAGAGAAAAGCACACCAATTGTATCAAAGAGACATGGTATAAAATGTTTACAGAAGCATTATTCATAAACACCAAAAATTAAAATAACCCCAAAGTTCAATATATAAATTAACTGTGGTATATTCACACAATTAAATACTAGAAAAAGAATGGATTACTATTGCTTCATGCAACAAGGACTGATTTTCTCAAAGTAATGTGGAGGAGTGAAAGAATTAGATACAAAAGTACAGACCTTTTGATTCTACTTTACATAGAATTCAAAAATAGGCGAAACTAATCTATGATGTTGAAAGTCAGAATACTGTTACATTTGAGGGAAATGAATGGTGAAGAGGGGCATGGGAGGGATTCTGGGATGCTGATAAATGTTCTATATTTCTTGATCTGGATAGTGATCACATCAGTGTGCTTATTACTTTGTAAAAATTCATTGAGCTATAGGTTTGTGATTTGTGCACTTTTCTGTTTTTATATTAAGTTTAACAAAACATCTATTAAAAAAGTAAGTAAGTCCTTGAGGTTTTTTAACTTACCAGCCGGATCAGTTCTTCTTTTATGAGCCTGGTAATTTCTGCCTTTGCTTTCTGCACGGCCAGTTCATTGGCACCTGGTGAGAAGTGGAAAACGATTATTAGAATTACACTGAAAATATACCCATGTCGTGGCGAGCCACCAGGAATACTGTAGGTGACTTTTTTTTTAATATATATTTTATTGATTTTTTACAGAGAGGAAAGGAGAGGGATAGAGAGTTAGAAACATCGCTGAGAGAGAAAGATCGATCAGCTGCCTCCTGTACACTCCCTACTGGGTATGTGCCCGCAACCAAGGTACATGCCCTTGACTGGAATCAAACCTGGGACCCTTGAGTCCGCAGGCCGACGCTCTATCCACTGAGCCTAACTGGTTAGGGCTGTAGGTGACTTTCAGAAACACTGTGCTACCTGCCAAGAGAGCCTTTCAATACTGGTGAAACACCATCCACATTATATAACGGCTGCTTATTGTTCTCAATACTTTCAGAGTTTCAAATTTAGCAATGAGGTTACAATGCGTGTAGTGTTAAGAACTCTTGGTATGTTGATTAAAGAATGAAGAAAAGGCCGAAACCGGTTTGGCTCAGTGGA